CTTCTAGTAACAAGTGCCTTACTAGTAGTAACAAGAAGCTAGTAGAATTAAATTAGATTCTAATTAAACTTAATTCTAATAGCTTCTCGTTACTACTAGTAAGGCACTTGTTACTAGTAGCCACTTTTCAATGTGTCAAGCTGATTCTGTGGTCGTTGCTGAAGGCGCTGCAGATCCGCAGCCCCATTGACGTGCGACCGGGGGAGCGGATCTTGATCATGGGCGGAAGTGCAGCGGCACCGGAAGAACATGCCGATGCCTCAGCATCTCACAGGGGTGGAAAAAGAACAAAACAGAAGCGTTACTAGGAACAAGAGCGGCGCTACTAGTTACAAGGGCATTACTACTAGTAGCAAGAAGCTACTAGGAGCAAAGGGGCTACGTTCGGGGCTCCTGGCCTTACTACTAGTACCAAGAAGCTACTAGTAGCGATGCAATTCTTCCTAGTAGCGATGCCCGTGGGGATCTGACGTAAATTGTTGCCGAGTTGTTCGAACCTGCTTGCGCTACCAACTGTGGTTCTTTTGTTTTGTGATAGAGGATCGGCGGGCATATTCGTTGCAGAGACAAACAGGACGATCGTTTGGGATTGTGGAACTACAAAGACCTATCCATGCACCACATTCTTTGGAACCACTTGCTACCTCCCAACCATGCATTATTTTATCAGGCCTGTTGTTGCTGGATGTTGCCGAGTGCCAGCTTTCCAAGGTGGTGATGGCCGTGGAACCAGATGGACAGAGTGGGCAAGTCCTCATGTTCCTTGGAGATGAATGTGTGCTGCATATGCCTGAATCAAAGAGAAAGTAAACTTGCCTTTTGCATATGATGACGTTGGATTGACATTGCATTCTCGGGTGCGGGCATTGATTGTTCGATTGACCTTAGGTCCTGACGTCCAAGCAGGTCCACTTTAATTGGCTTGATGAAACAACGTCCAAACAAGAACACCTTAGGTTGGAGGATTCCATCATCCATGATCGCGAAGGTGGCATTCACCAGCTGGATGCTATACAGGAGCAGATCCTCTACAACTTCGGAGAGGTCAGTAGCCTTTCTTTGGCTACCCTTGTTCCTAGTAGCGTTCTTGCTCCTAGTAGCGATGCCAGGAGCCCCTAGTAGCTTCTTGCCCTTGGTTACCTGTGGAACTACTTTTCTTTCTAAATCGGAAGATAGAAACATCAAGCAAACCGATGCAAGCACACCCGAACGCCAGTTTGTTATCCGCTTTAACCACTCCAACGACCAGAAACTAAGAAGGTGTCCTTTGCAAAGGATTCCGCTTCCTGACCGATGACAAGAAGAAACACCGTTTTCGGTCTTGGAAAAGCTGCTAGGAGCAAAGGGCATCGCTACTAGGAGCAAGGACACTACTAGGGGCTCCTGGCATCGCTACTAGGAGCATTCTTACTACTAGTAACAGGAAGCTACTAGGGGCTCCTGGCCTTACTACTAGGAACAAGAAGCTACTAGGAACAAGTGCATCGCTTCTAGTAACAAGTGCCTTACTACTAGTAGCAAGAAGCTGGACTTGGCAGGTCGATCTCAGCGCCACTGTAGCGTCCCTCAGTGGACGGGCGCACTTCTATGGCGCCCAGGGTGGTGCCTTCATTGACTGCATTGGCTCCAGTGGTTCATGTGGTCCGGAGCTCGAGCTCAACGAAGCGGTCACGGAAATGAACACTACTAGCAACGCTACTAGGAACAAGTGCCACGCTACTAGAGAGCTTAAAGCCCCTAGTAGCGATGACCTACCCTTATAGCGATGGCTTCCAACCTCATAGCCCCTGAAAGCCCCTTGAAGCTTTTGCTTGAAAAAGGAGATTGATTTCCAAGATCATGTTATGATCCATGACGCTTCATGACGTGCCTGCGAGGTTTGGAGGGATTGGTCTTCAGTTCTTGCGGGCAAGTTGCTCCAGGCATGGTTTACGCCTAGCTGCTCCAACCACTGAACTCTTTTTCATCATGTTCGAGAGCTTCAGATAGCTGCAATAGCCTTGTAACCTAGTAAATCTCAAAATGCTCTTTGATTCAGCAAGCACAGCAAAGTGCATGATTCATATCGACAGTTGCGCAGTTCACTGTATACTTACTGTCCAATGAAGTCAAACAAACTCCTCAGATGAGGCTGGGGTGACTAGGAATCGCATCACATTGAACTCCAACCTAATAGCGATGGCCTCCACCCTAATAGCCAAAGCCTCCAACTTAAGAGCGATGGCCTCCAACCTAAAAGCACTGAACTCTTTGCTCCTAGTAGCGTCCTTGCTCCTAGGAGGGGGGGGAGCGGGCTTTAAAGTAGAGCTATTTTAAAAAAAGAAGAAAGAAAGAAAGAATAGTTAGTAATTAGGTAATTAGCTTTATTGTTCCTAGTAGTAAGGCCAGGAGCCCTAGTAGCGATGCCCTTTGCTAGTAGCGTCCCTGTTGCAGGAACCTCTGGAGTACCTTGTGTGAATCTCAAAGCAGTTCGGCCGAGCGCTTTCGCACCTCGACAGCAGGAAATCTCACAGTGAACAGATGCCAGGACCTGCTGAAACCCTGTGCATCCCCTTTACTAGAAGCAAGAAGCTACTAGGGGCTCCTGGCATCGCTACTAGGAGCAAGGACGCTACTAGGGGCTCCTGGCCGTACTACTAGGAGCAACAAGCTACTAGTAGCAAGAAGCTACCAGTAGATCCTGGCAATACTACTAGAAGCAAGAAGCTACTAGTAGCAAGGCACCGTAGTACTTCAGTCCAAAACTAAGGTCACGGACTCGGTTTTCCTGGACGCTGCAGGGCCAGCTGCGGTTTTGCAGGCTGGGAAGACGCGCAAGTCCTATCAAGCTGCATTCTCGCGTTCCACGAGTAAAAACACAAACCATGACATGAGTGCACTTGAACTTCGATCTGTTCAGATGGGCCCTTGGCGTGCGAAATCCACCAGGGTGTCTTTACTACTAATTTTAATTTGATTCTAATTAAATTTATATATTGTGTCTACTAGCTTCTTGTTACTACTAGTAAGGCACTTGTTAATAGAAGCGATGCACTTGTTCCTAGTAGCGATGCACTTGTTTCTAATAGCTTCTTGTTGGCGTGCGAAATCCACGGCGCGTGGAAGCTTCTACGGTGTTTTTGCACCGCAGCCTTCTTTCTAGTAGTAACAAGTGCCTTACTAGTAGTAACAAGAAGCTATTGGGAACAAAGGGCATCGCTACTAGTAACAAGAAGCTACTAGGGGCTCCTGGCATCGCTACTAGGAGCAAAGGCCATCGCTGAAAGCTTCCCACAATCACCGGTGAGGCCCAGCTGAATGGCGAGCTCGACTTTGCCCGGAACGTCATCGTGTCACCCCGTGGCCCAGGCGTTACCAGCACCGTGAGGCCCGAGATGGGGTTGAAAACCGTTGAAGACCTCCAACCATTCAGGAGCCCCTAGTAGCGTCCTTGCTCTTAGTAGCGATGCCAGGAGCCCCTAGTGGCGTCCATGTTCCTAGTAGTAAGGCCAGGAGCCCCTAGTAGCGTCCTTGCTCCAACCCTTCAGGACATGCATGAAGGATTCATCGATTTCATTCTGCACATGTTTGATCATGTTTGCATACTTTTTAATTAATGCGTGTTCAAGGTGTTTTTGCCCGAGTGCCTGCCAGTGGTAGCCAGCGTCAGCCGATAGTTCGGGACAGGGTTTTTATTTGCCATGGAAGAACACATCTTCGGTCTCCCTCCCCGGTCAGTTGGGGATCGAATTGATGTGGTTGTCGATGTCCTTGACTCGACGGCTAGTGGCTGTGGGATTCGCTTGCTCCCTTTCGGTGTCGAGTGCTCTCTGCTTGGCTTGGGGCTTCCCTTGGGCCGTGTCTCGGTTTATGGATTGGAGGTCTTCGAAATTGACCCTTGCTTGGTTCTGGTTCCATCGGCCGATTGTTGGTGGCGTAGTGCACCTGATGCCAAAGAACCGTTGGCTCCTTTCCTGCTTGAGCTCTGCGTTGGCTTTGGCGGCATGTCCATTGGCGCCTCTTTCCTTGGCGCTGTCCCTGTGGTTTCGGTGGACTTTTCGCCGCTTTCGGTTCGTCATTTGAAGGCCAACTCTCATGGGCAGGTTTTGGCATTGGACTTGAATGACCCACAGGCCTCACGTATCATTCATGCCGCTTGCCCTCTGCATGGATTTACCGGCACCATGGGTTTTCCGTGTCAACCCTATAGCTCTCAGGGCAGGATGCAGGGTTGGAATGATAGCAGGGCATTCGTACTGCTCTCAGGCCTTCGGGTATTTTGGTTCACTCAACCCCAAGCCGTGATTTTGGAGTGCGTGGCGGCAGCCAGGTCGAATCATGACACACGCCAAGCAATTGCTGCTTTCGCCAAGGCGATGGGCTTCGAAATCCTCGAACTCACGTTTGACTTAGGCACACAGTGGCCGTGCAAGCGTCTCCGGTGGTGGACTTTGTTGATCCCGCCTCGATGGAATCATCATGGACTTCACCCTTGGCCCTTCCTTCCTTCCACACCCAAGATCGGGCAGGTCCTGCCGCAATGGGGGACTTGGAGCGAGCCGGACGAAACCGAGCTACAATTGGACATGGATGAGCTTGCTCTTTACATGGACCCAAGGCTGGGCAAAGAGGATCGCTGCCTCACTTTGGACAGCATTGCTCCGACCTTCCTGCACTCCTACTCCAATGCCACTCGGCCCTGCCCTTGCAACTGCCGCTCGGCTGGATTCAGATTTGGGACCCTTCTGGATCAGGGGCTGCGTGGATGCTGGGTACCATCTCAAGTTCACGGCAATCCGAGATTCCTCCACCCAAGGGAACTGGCTGCAATGCTTGGTGTACCCGATTCTGTTATCCTTCCATTGGGACCTCGGGAAAGCAATTGTCTTCTGGGCCTCATTGCATCTCCGATTCAGATGGTTTGGATCTACGGCACCTTGGTTGAGAACTACCAGATGGCCACTGGATCCGAAGAGGTCCTCACGGCGCTTGCCACGCTGGAGAACTACAAACGTGAGCTGATCCGGCAACTGCATGATGGATTTCCGGCTTTCGATACTCAGCCCATGCACTTCCAACTTTGGTCCAACGGGGCTTGCCTTGAGATTATGTGCAACAGGGCTTCCACCGCGGGCTCATTGCTCTCTGCGGAACGGATTCAACTGGATTGGGGTCACCATGGTCAGATTTCAGCCGAGGGCGGCCTCCCTATCTCGGATGATTCACTCCTGCAAGCACAAGGGTCCTACCTTCTTGAGGGTCATGGAAAGCAGCAAGCAAGAGAACGCCCCACCGGACTCTTGGCCATTGGTATCGCTCATGAGCAAGAGCTGATCATTGAATGTGTTGAGCCCGGCAGCTTTCTCTTCCAGGTACTCCGCAAGCATAACTTGCAGCACATCCTCTTTCTGCGTGACGACTTGGGCAGGGTCTATGGGGCAGATTTCCGGCTCTGGCGCTCCTTGAGGCTTCTCACATTGCCTTGGCTAGTCAGCGGATGGCATACCTTGGTTGGCAGAGGACCACCTACTCATGGTTCAGATGGCACAAGACTTGGACTGGGGGATCCCATCATTTGGACTACACTTCAGAGTGTCGTTCGGCAGCGTGGGCTCATGGCTGCTGGTCCGGTCTGGGTGTTCTCTCCCAAGCAAGCTAATACATTGCTGCGCACTTCTCTTCCTCCTGTGCTTGAAGCGGGGGCTATCCAGGGCTCTGCGCAGGTGCTTTGCATCTTCCCTGCAGATGAGCATTGGGCGTTACTGCATGGAATCATTCAGGATGGCCGCATTGCTTGGACTTATTTCGATGGACTTCGTGATCGGCTCTTTGAAGCAGCATCTCAGCTTTCTCAGCAGCTTTCTGCCTTGCTCGGCGTATCGGTCACAAGCTTTACCTCGGCCTCACACTATACTCAGCAGGCGGAGTACACATGTGGCACCATTGCCCTGCTTCATGCTTGCCTTGCATTGGGCTTTCCTGGTGGATTCACCGAAGACAACATCACACGGATCCATGAGCATCTTCTTCTTCATGATCGGAAGGCTGACTTCATTGGCTACGGGCCTCTTGGGCGGGCCGATACCCTTTCTGAGCTAGCTAGCCTACTCAGCGAACATGGAGTCCCTGCAGAACTTTCGCGGGATAGAGCAACATTGGTGCTTGAGAAACTTGGGACATCTTTGGTTCAGTCCGCACTTCGATCCAAGATGCCATGGGCAGCACTCAAGGCTGAAGCCAGCAAGCCTTCGTTTCGTCTACGACTGGTTACACCCTTGGAACTTTCTCAGCATTTGCAAGATAGGGAGAAGACCACGTTTGGAGCCTCAGCATCCAGCAAAAAACAACGAGGTGCCAGGGAGAAGAAGCTGGCTTCCAAGCCTATCAAAGTGGATCCCCAGGCATTGGAACTCTTCCCAGACACTTTTGTCGATGAGGACGGGAATCGAGTTGGTGCCATTGACTTCCAAGAGGTGGCCGCTGATCAAAGTGGGATCGCCCTTTGCAACGCTGAGGGGGCGGCTCCCTTCTTCTCATCCAGCAGTCCCAGCTCGGATGCCCTGGCCTTAGCTCTCATTGACCTGCCGGAGGAAGACATCACCGCTGCTGCGAAGATTCAGAAATGCATGATTCCCGCCAAGTACAAAGCTACCGAGGAACCAGTTGTCTTTTTCGGAGGTCTTCTTCAACTTGGAGATGTTGCTGTCAAAAGGAAGGCTTCTCAGAGCATGCCACAGCCTGCAGTTGTGACCACCACGGTTCTCAAGATCCAGGCATATCGTGATCTACTGGGCACCTCATGGGAGGCAGTTTCCAGGGCTCCCATCCGTGAGCTCGCGGATGCCACACCGGCATTGCAACTCTGTAAGGACAGCAAGTGTACAGGGAAGACGACCGATTGCCAGAAGGCTCATCCAGCTGTCGATGAACAGTATGATGGGGTAATTCTTGACCTATGGAGCCGCCTCTTCACCACCATGGAGGGTAAGAAGACGGAAGCCAAGGAGGCTGATTGCTTTTCTGTTTTGATCCGGGTTCCTTCCTCTATGGTGTCACAGATTTTGCAGCAGCAGCCGGTAGGCTTCTTCTTTGAGCCCAGATGTCAGACCACCAAGGGGCCGGACCCTCGGTACAAAGTGATTTGGCTTCCTGGACTGGATCATCTAGCTGCCTCACATCAAGCGAAGACCTGCTCCAAGACTGTTTGTCTCATGCGCATCAAGCAACGATTCGGGGTCCGAGTTCTGGCCAAAGATGAAGAAACCGCATTCAAGGCCTTGCGGCCAGGGGTGCCCTTCATGGATGTTGAGGTCAAACAGATCTACAACCTCATGCCGCTCCCTCACGGCACTCAGAAGTCGGCAGTCAGCGCACTTCTGAAAGAATGGAATTGGTCAGCCAAACCCTTGCAACCTGGCAAGGGGAATGCCGGCTACATGGCATGGACCATCGGCGCTGCCACGCCTCCACCACAGGCTGTCATGCCAGGGTTCAAGCTCGACATCCTCATCACTGACAGGTCTCCAAACGTGCACCCACAGTTCACCAGCCGACTGTCATGGCAACCCGCAAAACAGAACAGCACATTCGCAGTGCGGCAGCGGGACCCCCTGCCTCCAATGACCCATGGCACAACGGCCAGACCAAAGACCCCTGGGCCAATTTTAGGTCCTCGCAGCCATCCAGCTCTACTGCAGCACCTGCCGCCCCTGCACGCAGGTATGACGACCTGGCCAAAGAGATCCGACAGGACATCCAGCAGGATCTTGACTCCAAGCTGAAGCAGATAGGCACAGCCAATCCTGACACGGATCAGCGCATTCTCCAGCTTGAGAGCGGATTGACAGAAATCCAGGCACAAAACAAGCAATTTTCTCAGTGGTTCCATGACGTTCACCACACTTGCCACAGCACGCAAGCCTCCATCAGCGAACTTCAACAACAGGCCGTGCACCAGAAGCAAGAAATCCAGAGATTGGGACAAGAAGTCCTAACTGGGCAGGCCAAATTTCAGCAGCTGGTTCAGACAGCGGTGCATGAGGTCAAGAGTGATTTTGCTAAGGAGATGAATGGCCGCTTCGATACGCTGGAGGCCATGATGGCCAAGAAGGCCAAACACGAAGCTTGACTAGGCCACAAGGGGATCGGACCTCGACCAACCGATCCGCCGGCCTCTCATCATGGTCGCAGCTTCATCAGGCAACCACGGGACAGAGTGGGCGCCTCAATCCCTCATGGCCTCTACACTACAAGGGGGCTTCGCCTTCTTTTGGCTACTCTTTTCTGGACTTTCTCTTCGGCGGCGCCGCTTCTGGAGTATGAAGGGAACATCTCTTGGGTCCCCCGAGGGCCTTGTTTCGGTTCGCTGGACCTTGGGCTTAAGCGAACGCTCACTACCTCTTCAGCCAGTTTCTTTTCTGCATGATCATTTCCCTGGTGGGGACCTGGACCAGGCAATTGACTCATCTTTTGAGACTACATCTACTGCGGCTTCTCCCTCTCTGTCTCCCCTTCAGGCTGGGGCTTGTGCCTGGGGGAGACTGGGCGGCTCGTTGCACACCTTCTGGTTTGGACTCGGCCGCCTCAGACTTCTTGGTGAAGCCGCCAATCCTGGGCCTCTACGTATCAGTACTTCCAATCCATCGGGGCTACGCACCAAAGAAGAGCTTCTTCTTTCGTTGGGAGCTGGCATACATCAAGTCAGCGAGACGCATCTCAGTGAGGCCACACAGCGTACATCAGGCCGTCGGCTTCAGCATCTAGCACAGGCTGAGCACAGACAGGTCAGAACTTTGTTCGGCCATCCTGCTGATCTTCGCAGTGGCTCATCCTGGGCCGGCTGCTGGTCGGGAGTGGCAACAGTCGGTGACTTCCCTTGCGAAACATTGGACTTGAGAATGCCTGCGGAGTTATGGCGCTCTTGTCGACTTCATTTTTCTATCCACCACGTGGGGATTCATTCCATCATCCTTGCCAGCATCTATGGCTTCCCACGGGGCCCTACGTGGCCTGCAGCGGCCGAGTTGACATCACAGCTCCTTGCTTTCATCTCGGAGCACCTCATCGTTGGGTACAATGGGCTTGCTGCGGTGGCTGGGGATTTCAATTTCAACCCAGGGGAGCTTCCGGAAATGGAGCTTTGGGCTTCATATGGCTGGCAGGAGGCTCAAACACTTGCACACACCAGATGGCAGACGCCCATTGCACCTACCTGCAAGGGCAGTACTCAGAGAGATCAAATCTGGCTCTCACCCCGGTTGGCTGCTTTGTGCACTGAGGTTGAGGTCTATGATATCTTTGTGGACCACAGCACGGTTCTTGCTTCCTTCCAACTGGATGAAGTGCCGCATACTTATCTGGCTTGGCCACGGCCGTCGGAGATTCCTTGGGACAGCATCGCGGTCGACGACTGGCAATCTAGTCTGGAAACGCCTGAGGTTTGGTGCAACCAGGACGCCACCGTCTTCTACCAAGATTTCGCAAAGCAGTTCGAGAATTCTCTTGATGGCCACTGGACCCCTAGCCTGGGTAAGCCACTTCCGGCAGGATTCAAGGGACGGGCACAGAGGACCTGCCCTTCTAAGCTTCTCAGCTCTCCGCCTTCATGCAAAGCTTCACGGCCTGGGGAGATTGAGCTCAGCTACCAGATGCCTGGGAGGGCTGTACTGCTGTGGTACAAGCAAGTTAGAAGATTGCAATCTTATTTGCACTCAATCCGGAAGGGAGCCTCATGCACCTCGGCTACGCTTTACAGGGTCGATCTCTGGCATAGCATTCGACACGCCAAGGGCTTCGCAGATGGATTTCCTGCATGGTGGAATAGTCAAGAATTCGTTTTGTACCTTGGAGAGCTTCCTCTTTTTCCACCTTCGCGCAATCTGGCAGAGGTTCTCTTCACCACTTTTTTGCAAGCTTTTCGTGAGTTCGAGGATTGGCACTGTCAGCAGCGCATCGGCATTCTCAAGGCCAAGAGGCAAGCCACCATGGAAGGGCTCTTCAAAGACCTCCGCCCTCCGGCACGAGATCAGGTTGATTGCCTTTGGAGGGGTGAAGAGTTTGTCCCACTTGTTGACCTCGACGACGAGGGGGTAATCCACTTGGATGAGCCTGCCACCCTTGCGAGTAACTCCACTTGGCTTTTGGATGGGCTACCGGCTCAGGTCACTCCCATCGCGGACACAGTGGTCCTGGTCGACTCAGCGGAGTCATATTCAGGGGTGTCCAAGTTGACTCAGCGTATCTTTACCTCCACCACCATGGAGATTCAGACCGAGCTGGGTAAATTTTGGAAGGACAGATGGTATCTGCAAACTCCACCTTCCGAGGAAGCTTGGCTCCGCATTGTCACTTTCACGCAGGCCTTCATGCCGACTGGCCGCTTTGTGTTTGAGCCAATCACCATCAGACAGTGGCGGGCCTCCATCAAGCGCTTCAAGCCTAAGGCCGCTCGTGGAGCAGATGGCTTCGGCAAGCAGGACCTTCTTCGCATGTCCGATGGCCACACTGCCGCACTTCTTTCCCTCATCGAGGCCGTCGAGCAGGGGCAGACCGCGTGGCCCACTCAACTGCTGGAAGCCTTCGTGATAGCTCTGGCCAAGAAGGACATTTCACATACTCCAGATCACTTCAGACCCATTGCTTTGCTGTCCATCGTATACAGATGCTGGTCTTCCTTGCGGGCACGCCAATTTCTCAGGCAACTGACGGCATACATTCACACCGATGCCTATGGTTTCCTGCCTGAGAAAGAGACGGCACAAATTTGGTTATTGCTCCAGGCGCACATTGAATGTTGCATTCAGGCCTCAATGCCGCTCGGGGGCCTGTCCACTGATGTGGTCAAGGCCTTTAACCACATCCAGCGCTCTCCTCTTTTCTACTTGGCAGCTCATGTTGGGGCCCCACAAAGGCTGACGCGACCCTGGGCAAGTTTCCTGGCCGGCCTCAAGAGAAGATTTCTAGTCCACAATGAGCTTGGTGACGCCCATCTCAGCAATGTTGGATTTCCTGAGGGCGATCCTCTTTCCACTGCAGCTATGGCGCTCCTTGATTGGTCTATGCATGTCTACCAGTCTAGATTTGCACCTTCAGCAAGAACCTTCAGTTTCGTGGATAACATTTCCATAGCAGGGCACCAAGCACAACATGTCGCCCAGGCATACTTTTCTCTGCAAGCCTTTCTGGAGTTATGGGGATTGCTCCTGGATGATACCAAGACCTACCTGTGGGGTACCACGGGTGACCTGCGCAAGCAATTGAAGCTCCTTGGATTTCCGCTCTACGAGGACGCCTTGGAATTGGGCGGGGCACTTTCTTTTGGCGCAGCTTGGCGAAATCGGCTTCTTCGCGCCAAAGGCCAGAAACTCGAGGACTGTTGGGCAAGACTTCGTCAGTCCAAGGCCCCTTTGGCTTTCAAGCTTAAGGCTCTTCCCATGGTTTGCTGGAACAAGGCCCTACATGGGAGCGAAGCATGCCCCCTTGGACTTCAGCACTTGCAAACTCTTCGCCGGCAGGCCACCTCTGCCCTTGGACTTAGGGTGGGGGGCGCGAATCCGCTTTTGCGTCTCTCCTTGTCTGAGCCTCCGGTTGCTGAACCCGCATTCTTTCAGCTGGTCCGGATCGTTGACTGTCTTCGTCGTCTGTGCTTCAAGTCTCCTGAGCTTCTCGAGCGTTGGCAGTCTTTTACGCATGCCTTCGACGGGCGCACGATTCCGGGTCCCTTCTCTAGGTTGGTTGCGTGTCTGTCGGAGATTGGTTGGGCTGTCCTTGAACCGCCGCTTGTGTTAGACCACGATGGGTTTGAGCACGATTTGCTTGCTTCGCCACGCCAATTGCTGCACGAATTGTTGCTTGACGGTTGGTTGCAGCATGTCGCATCCATTGTTTGCAAGAGGCACACTATGTCGGATCTCCGGGGCTTAGACCCATACCTCTCCAAACTTGACCATGACAAGCTGTCGGTCAAGCAACTTGCACAAACTTTGGCACTCAAGGAGGGAGCATTCGTTTCGGCTTGGCACCAGGCTAAGTTTGATGGAACGAAGCAGGCTTTGTGTGCTTTTTGTAGGGTCGCCGACCACCCCGGGCACTGGCTTTCATGTCCTCGTTTTCAGGATCTTCGTGTTCACAACCCCGAACTTGCTGCAGCGGAACACGGATGGCCACAGTTCACCTTGCACCACTTGCTGGTCCCTAGGGCGGACTTTTTCCGGGAGTTGAAGGACTACTTCTTCAACATTCCCCCCATGGGTTCATTTCTCTCGGAGCCAGGGGGTTCGTTTCAGGAGCTGTTCACGGATGGTAGTTTGATTGACTTTGTTCCTGGCTACATTAAGGGAGCTGCATGGGCGGTGCAAAACGCCTCCACTGGACGACCGATTGCTACCGGACACCTCGGGGGGCTACTACAAACGGTCAACCGGGCGGAGCTTGCTAGTTAGTGTCCGATGGGCCTTTTCCTTCGGAGTGAAGGCTCGGATCTGGACTGACTCGAAGTACGCCTGTCATTGGCTCAGTGCGGGCCTTGAACAGCTGGTTAGCCAGGTACCGCCCTCGGTTGACAACCACGACCTTATCAACGATCTCCTCTCTAGCGTTGCTTTGCTGGATACTGGACAGATTGTTGTTTGTTGGATGCCCTCTCACATCGCGCTGGAGAGATGTGGGCTAGCGGCGGAAGAGTGGGCCGTACTCTGGAACGAGCAGGCTGATCGACAGGCCATTCGAACCAACCTTGATCGGCCAGATCTTTTTTGGCAGCTTGTAGACCGAGGTAGGGCTAGATTGGACAGATGGGTTCCTTTTTTACGGGATCTCCGGACCTTTCATTTGGCTGTCGGCGATCAGCTACAGCAGCAGCAGGCTGGAGACCCTGTACAGGTGATTGATGACACGCCTTGGGATGAGATTGCCCAACAGAGCACTCTCTCCACAAGCCTTCCGGAGGATTGGCGCCACATTTTCCAAATGTTTAAGTCCGCTTCGGTCGCGGCCCATGCCTCCTGGCTGGTTGCGGCTTTAAGGCCTTTGGACGATGGCTCGGCTGACCACATGCCGATTAGTTTTCTTGAGCTCACCTTGTTTCTTTTTGAGCGGGATGATTTCATCATTCCACACAGGCGGGATGGG